AATAAATTTTCCTTTTTTGGGCCCCCGCTGGGGTTTCATCTTATGCAAAAAAATAAAAAATACTTTTCCCACCCAAAATTTTTCCCCAAACATTGCATTTTGTGCACTTGTGCCATTTGATGAAAAGAAAGAGACATCTGTTACAAAACACCAAAAAGTGTAATGACATTCGGCGATTGATGCATCTTGCTGACAAAAGGACCTTTTCACACACCTGAAATGTGGCTTAAATACGGGACTTTCCCAGGATGACAAGTGCAGACACGAGGATAAAAAAGAAAAAACATGACACAGAGGTGGGGGTGTTTGTTTTATTTGGAATAAGCTTTTATTTTCATATTCACCACTGCAGCAGTACAAATTGCATTTTAAACAAAAAGGAGAATGGTTAAATTAGCATTATTTAGAGATAACCCAAAGTTGGACTTGTTGCATTTAAGGGGGTTCATCTCTCATTCAGGGGGGTTTAGCCCCCTGCGGGCCCCCTGTAATTCGCAATGCTGGATTTGATATTGGGTTTTGTCCTAAATGGAATTAGCCTGTGTTAAATCATCCATTCAGAAGATGGCAGTAGCAAAAAGTGTTTTTGTTATGGATCGATGACATTAACAACCTCGTAGAGGCCCTTCCATGTGTTGTCTTCCAATTCTGTCTTGCAGTTCTCTTCCAAGAGCAAAGAACAATATCCCCAAACAGACAATAACAGTATGACCATCACCATGTAATGTAATGTAATGTAATGTTGTGGCTCTAAATTACTCCTAGCAACAACCCTTATGTGTGGTAAATTTAATTGGAAATTATTCATTTGATTCAATGCAATTTCATCTTTGAGAACAGACAGTGAAGTAACTTCCACAGAATCTTCAACTCAATAAACAAACCCTTCCCCCCTGAAAAGATGTGTTGTTTATACAGGACGCTAATATTCTCAATTCCGGAGAACTTTGTCCAAACTTTCCCGTGGGATCATGGCACTTGTTGCTTTCCATTGGAAATTCAATGATTTGACAGGCCTACGTAAAGGAGTCACACACAATAGTGTCAAGTAAAGTGAACAAAATTAACAACAAAATTCCAGCTAGCACAAAAAAATTTTTGTTGCCTGTCTTAAAAATGTGTTCGAGCATTTTAGAGCATGTTGCAGCTCATTCCAGAGATTATGAGGGACTCTAGAAACCCCAGAGATGTATTAAAGGATCAAACCAAACCAGAGGATCATTCATCTGACATAGGAACATGATTGAGCTCATCATTATTTATAATCAGTATGAAAAATGTATGCACTCACTAACTGTAAGTCGCTCTGGATAAGAGCGTCTGCTAAATGACTAAAATGTAAATGTAAATTAGGTCCCAACTGTCATATTTGTTTTTTAAATCTCAAAGGGATAGTGTTTGAACCCTTTAGTGTACATCTTAAAAGTGTCTGGATGTTGGTTAGGTTTCCCATTGGTGCTCCAGTCCATTGTGGTGACTGATATCATGCCTTGGGTTGGGGTTAATGAGCACGAGTGTTCACAGCTTAAAGGAGTAGTTCACTTTTTTGAAACCAAATATTTAAAAAATGTATGTAAATGTTTTGTTATAGAAGTGACCAGACACTTTTTTTGCGATTTCACATGGTTTTGAGAAACTTACCGCACCAGAAACAGACTTTCTCATTCGCAACGTTATATTCCATTTTGTTGGACTCAAGCGATACATTTCCGTGTGCGAGCATGCACATGCTTTCTCGTTTCTCGTATCACCACAATGGGAATGAGAAAGCATGCGCATGCTCGCACACAGAAATGTATCGCTCGAGTCCAAGAAAATGGAATATAACGTTGCGGATAAAGTTCTGAATTACACAATTTAATGTGTACAACATCTAAAGACCTGCATCACTACACTGAGCATATTTGGGTGTTTTTGGAGCCTTTGTTCATGTTTATCCACTGCAGAACGAGCAATAAGAAAGTATATTGCTGGTGTGGTGTTTCTCAAAACCAAATGAAAAAAAGTTGCCAAAAAAGTGTCTGGACGCAAAAATAGAGATTTGTTTCAAAACCACTCATTCAAGGGGTCATGATCCATGATCCAATAATTTTAAAATTAATTTGACATTCAAACAAATCCCTTTAGAGAGTGAACTGCTAAGGGTTCACAGGACATTTGGTCATGATCCTTGATCCAATAATTTGTCAGATTGTTATTTTAATTGAGCCATAAGGGGATTCAGATTCAGAAAATATAATAATTTCAGCTAACATTAATTTATTAAACATTTATTTTGCATTTAAAAATCCCTTTAGAGAGTAAATTGCTGAGGGCTCACAGGACATTTCCAAAGACTGGACCCAACGCACTCCATTCTCCACTCCAGGTTCAATCAATGGTCAATGTCATGTCATCACAATCATTCCTACTTTCCCCATCTTTATTTCTGGAAAGCATAATGGATTTTCTCTGTGATTATGATTCATCTGACTGGACCAGTGGGGGACTTAACCCAATAATCAACCCCTGGAATAGATTTTCCTGCTCTGCAAACGCCTCATCATCATCGAGTCCCATTTTTAACATTTCAACAACATGTTCGATAACTGTTAGCAAAGCAGACTAACAAATGGTAGCCTACAGTATGTTACAGAGTACAACAGGTCTGCTCACCAATAACCAGGTTTAGGGAATATATGAATGATGTTCCAACAAATGAAGGAGAAATCCACAAACATCTGGTCTCTTTCACTACTCTTATGCTGTGGTGTTTCTCAAAACCAAATGAAAAAAAGTGGCCAAAAAAGTGTCTGGACGCAAAAATAGAGATTTGTTTCAAAACCACTCCTTCAAGGGGTCATGATCCATGATCCAATAATTTTAAAATTAATTTGACATTCAAACAAATCCCTTTAGAGAGTGAACTGCTAAGGGTTCACAGGACATTTGGTCATGATCCTTGATCCAATAATTTGTCAGATTGTTATTTTAATTGAGCCATAAGGGGATTCAGATTCAGAAAAGGACTGAATCCTTGAGCTATGACATATAATTTCAGCTAACATTACATTATTAAATGTTTATTTTGCATTAAAAAATCCCTTTAGAGAGTAAATTGCTGAGGGCTCACAGGACATTTCCAAAGACTGGACCCAACGCACTCCATTCTCCACTCCAGGTTCAATCAATGGTCAATGTCATGTCATCACAATCATTCCTACTTTCCCCATCTTTATTTCTGGAAAGCATAATGGATTTTCTCTGAGTGATTATGATTCATCTGACTGGACCAGTGGGGGACTTAACCCAATAATCAACCCCTGGAATAGATTTTCCTGCTCTGCAAACGCCTCATCATCATTGAGTCCCATTTTTAACATTTCAACAACATGTTCGATAACTGTTATCAAAGCAGACTAACAAATGGTAGCCTACAGTATTTTACAGAGTACAACAGGTCTGCTCACCAATAACCAGGTTTAGGGAATATATGAATGATGTTCCAACAAATGAAGGAGAAATCCACAAACATCTGGTCTCTTTCACTCCTCTTATGCTGAAGTCTAACAAAACAGCCACCACAATCTTTTTGTCATCAATTTCTCTCAGCCAATCATCAGTAAATCGTGTAAGTGCTGTGGTTGTTGAATATCCTTCCTTATAAACGTGCTGAACGTCTGTTGTCAATTTGTTTACTGTAAAATAGCATTGTATCTGATCAAACACAATTTTTTCCAAAAGTTTACTAAGGGTTGGTAACAGTCTGATTGGTCGGCTATTTGAGCCAGTAAAGAGGGCTTTACTATTCTTAGGTAGGGGAATGACTTTTGCTTCCCTCCAGGCCTGAGGGCACACACTTTCTAGTAGGCTTATATTGAAAATATGGCAAATAGGAGTGGCAATATTGTCCGCTATTATCCTCAATAATTTTCCATCCAAGTTGTCAGACCCCGGTGGCTTGTAATTGCTGATAGACAACAGTCATTTTTTCACCTCTTCCACACTCACTTTACGGAATTCAAAATTACAATGCTTGTCTTTCATAATTTGGACAGATATACTTGGATGTGTAGTGTCAAGGTTTTTTGCTGGCATGTCATGCCTAAATTTGCTAATCTTGCAAATGAAAAAATCTTTAAAGTAGTTGGCAATATCAGTGGGCTTTCAAAATATTAGCTAGCAAGCTAGCTAGCTAGACAAGCAGTCATCATTATGAATCACGTTGACAATCTACTGGCAAATCCTTTTCCATCCTTGAAGAGAAATTATAGATATAACGTATCAGTGCTCATCGGCCATTGGCCATAAACACAACAAGTCGGAAATCGCAAATTCAACAATGAGTGGTTTGGAAGGAATCAGTGGCTAACTGCTATGCAAAGCAATCACTATTTTGCTTCCCCTGTCTGCTATTCAGTGGAGAGGGTGTGTGGTCCAAGTCTGGGTTTAAGGATTTAAAACATCTGTCTGAAAGGGTCTCTTTTCCAAGCTTAAAAGGATAAACATTCACATGCAACACCATGGGCCAGAAAAGGTTTAATACATT